TTTAGAGTTTAGATTTATAAAATCCCAATTATTTGCATAACTAGACTTTAAAAAATTTTGTATAATATTTTCTTCTATAAAAGGAAATAAATTTTATCAATTATGATTGATGTAATCTCTTGTCTTATTTTTTAAGAGTTAATTTTAAAATCTAACAAACTAACAAACCTTCAACTTCAAAAAGGATTATAAAATTCTTTCAAGCTTTTTTCTTTTCTTTTTTTCCTTTTTTTTTTTTTACGGAATTTTTGTTTACATGTGATATACCATATTCTACCAAACCTTTCCTTTCCTAAATCTCTCCTTAGATTTGAACATACTAATAGTAAAGAATATATAAAATCTCCAACAGGGAAAAACATAATTAAACTTGGGTGCTAGTGTTATATAAGAAAACATTGTGTCACAAAAAAGTAATACAACAAAACATGTGGGAAAAGCATCATAAACCCAAGAATTGAGTATTTGTCTTTTTCTAAGGGCTGAGGAGCGTTGCTTCACTGTTGAAAAAAGAATATAGCAAAGCTGTCCTGTTTCGGCCCTGAAAATACTTTGGTCTTTATCAATGAATAACTATCTAACATGATTGAGAAACTTCCTTTTCAATATTCGAAAAATTTTAGAAATTATAAAAAGAACTTAAAATCATGTCATCCGCGTCCACCCATCATTGGGACACCTAAAATTTGAAATCCCTCCATTGAGAATCTCGCGAAAAACACTTCAAAGTTCAAACAGTTTTTGAAAAGATTTATGCAGACAACGAAACAAATAAGCCCACGGCCCAAAAAAAAAGTCCAGCAATTTAATCTTACACATAAAATAAGTATCACTCTTATAAATTATTTATAAGACTTAAGTATAAAGGTCAAAATTTTAGAAGATTAACTTTTTATCAATAATTTAAATAATTTAATAATAATTTATTTTTAATAAAAGTAAAAAATTTTAAATTCAAGTTATATAACATGTGAGTGGATATGAATTAAAAGATAAAAAAGAATTATTTTCAATTATATGATTCAAATTTAAAATTAAAAAAATTAAGTTTTTAAATAAATGATATTAATATAAAACTACACCTTAAGAGCATCCAGAGAAAAATTGTGATGCAAAAAATCTTGTTTGAAATACTTGACAGCATGTATATATATATATATAAAACAAACAAATTCTAAATGCTTGTATCTTAGATTTATTTATTAATACACTTTGTACTCCAATCATTGCCTATGACAAATTATTCTACCCATAGCCAAGATAAAAACGTTAATGTTATCAAATATGCAACAGTTTCCTATGTCTCAATTATAATTGAGACTACAGCTGCATTTGTAGAAGCCGTATTCTTAAAATCCCTCCTATTTCTCTCCGTTCGTAACTGTAGAACGTTGCAGTTAGCTAGCTAGGGATAGCCCTTCTGCTCCTTCCTTTAGCTTTCCTTTGTATATAACGCCAATCACTGCCCCAATGCCCTGGAGTATAGGGCCAACCTATGCGAGCAAGTATTTCCTCTCACCTCTTTAATACCTTTGTCTTCAATCTTCCCCAAATAGCTAGTGATAAAAAGAAAGCATGTGCCTGGGAATGATATTCTTACTCCATACCATGTATTGTACCATGGTACTTTCTCCTTCCTAGCCTGCAAAAGCTCATAACAATTTGTAATAGAAAGTTGCCACTCCAACTTATTTTTGTATCACTCTGAATCTTACATTGAGATGAAACTGTAAGTATAATTAATATATAAATATAAAAATGAATCATTTTTAACCATTTAAATTTAAATTTTTGAAAACTTACAACCTTAATCTGGGTATAATTAGTGTATAAATGAGAATTAGTATTAACTGAGACATCAAGATCACAAAACGCAACCTCACCACACTATCATAGAATAATGAGCTCTGCCTTCCATCTCCAACAACCATTTTAATTAGCCCTTTATTTCTACATCTTAGCTGCAGTGGCTTTTTCCAGCACCATGCTAGGCACCTTGACTGCCCAAATTGTGTGACCTTGCAGCTTCTCTTGAGTCCATCTCACCCAAAGGTCCTCCTTTCCAGAATGGCATAAAAAGATGCTTTCCTCAGCGGAGAAGGTAAGGGGAGAAACATCATTTTCTCTATTGCAAGAAAACAAGAATGGCATAAAAAGAATTGAAGACAAGGGAAGATAACACCTAAACGGCTAAAATAGACAACGGAATTGGGCCCATTTAGGTGTGATGAGGCAGGCTACTCCCAATCCTGGGCTTAAACCAGTTGGTAACTGAAGGCATGGTTCATTGACTCCTTGTGTGGACACTTTCAGGTGAGAAACATTCCCAATAAGGATCAAATCATATTCTTTATGGTTGGAGTGTATTCTTTCAATGCCACTCCTTGGTAGTAGCTTTGGGACAATAAACTAATTAATACCCGGGCAAGTTTGTTAATTTATTCTCGGGTCAACAAATGTAAACTGACAGGTGATAGAGGACACTGTTTGGTTAGGCAAAAACCTATTATTAATTTTTTATTTTACTAAATTTATAGATTTTAGTTCTCAATTTTAAATTAAAATATTTTTAACTTTTTATTTATTAAAATTAAAAAATAATAACCCTCACTTTATAATATTTAGTTAATTCTGTTAACTGATTGTTAACTCTGTTAGCTGAATGTTAATTCTATTAGTTGAAAATATGTTTTTACTAATTAACAATTAACTAACAGTTAATTAATAGAATTAACCGTTAACTAATAAAATAGTTTTTTTAATTGACTTCAATTCTATTAACTGAAAATAAGTTTTTACCAGCTAAGAATCAATTAAAAATAAACTAATAATCAACTAAAAGTCAACTAATAATCAGTTAAGAATGAACTAATAATCAACTAAGAGTTAGCTAATAATTAAGTAAGAGTCAGCTAATAATCAACTAATAAAGTTAACAGTACTAATAAAATGTTATAAGTGAGAATTATTTTCTTTAATTTTAATATGTGAAGGACTAAAAATATCATTGTATAAAATGAAAAACTAAAATTTACAAATTTAATAAAGTAAAAGTTCAAAAGTAAGTTTTTGCCGTTTGGTTATATAGGTATAGGCCTATAGGGCCAACTTTGCTATACTAGTTTTGATTAAAAAAGAGGTTAAGAAAATATTGTACCAATTTTATTAGATTAATTTTTATTAAAAAAAGTAATTAACAAAATATTATATAAAAACTTGATAAGTTTTTGTAATGATTATGTGTTGAGTATTTGAATTTAATAGTTATTTTTGTAAGTATTAAAATTTAGGTTAAATGCTAAATTTGGTCCCTCAACTTTAGTGAGTTGCACATTTTTGGTCCCTTAACAATTTTTTGCACTTTTTTATCCCTCAACTATACGAAATGCACTCCGTTAGTCCTTTTGTTAAATTGGACCGTTAACTCTGCTTACGTGGTATTTTTTATATTTTTTTTGATGATGTGGAGGGTAAAATTTAAAAAAGTGATGACGTGCACAAAAATTTTTGCCATGTCATGCTACTGTGGCCAAAAAAGCCAAATCCGTTCAAGTGGGTCCCACACATCACCACTAAGAATTGCTTCTGTCCATTGATTACTGTTTCTGTTCTTTCCATCGACGAAGAATTGCTTCTGTCCATTAATTACTGTTTCTGTTCTTTCCATTTTCAAGATTGAAATCATTTAAACAATACTTCAAAAATAAGAAGAAAAAAATCCCAAAAATCACTCACAACAACCTGCAATTTGGATAATCTCTTTATAAACAAACATATAACAAAAAAAAAGTTGAGCTGGGTTCGCCGGAACCCAACCTAGGTTCCACCGAACCCAGCATCGGTGGAACAGTTTTCATCGAACCCAGCTCAATTCACCATAATCCAGTTGTCCAAAATCCCTCGCAACAACCTGCAATTTGGATAATCTCTTGGCAAACAATCATATAACAAAAAAAAATAACCAATTGCCCAAAAATCCTTCACAACAACCTGCAAATTGGATAATCTCTTGGCAAACAATCATATAACAAAAAAAAA